TTATTTATATTCCCTCTCTCTTCTAACCAACTAACCACCGTCTCCCACTACTTATTTCATCCCTTTTTTACCCCTTCTCACGTAAACCTTTAATTGCCTAACAGATTTTTCTCCAAAATACTATGACCATTTATATTCAGTTAAAATTTTAAAAAAGATACCATAAGAAAAAAAATGATACAATGGTGTTTGTTTACTCTCATAGAAGCTCCTCAAAGTAAAAGATGCAACCATGAAGTTTATTGCTCATTTGTAGCTTTTACATTTCTTTATTTTATTTCCAAAAACAAGAAAACAAAAAAGGTTCGCTTTGCTATAAGAAAATTTCTCAAGTTAGAAAAACTTGGGTTGGATGGGGGCTTTACCTTGTGAATTGCTGAAATGATTGCACCTTAACTGTATAAATACCCTTAAATGCATGTTTAAGTTTGAATCATCTTACTTTTTTTGCCATATAGACTGTATAGGTACCACTGATATTTTATTGCTGACTTTGGGTTAACTTCCCTCAGATTAGCCACTATAGATTTTCCAAGCTGTCATGTTTTCACTTACATGGGAAATAACCCAGTGTTGTTTGATGAGTTATGACCATATATGCTAATTCTCCTTTATTAGACATAATGCATGCAGTTCTATATTTCTACTAAAGATGTAAAAGTGAAAGTAAGGATTCATCCATCAACTAACCAAAAATTTGGGCTTTTATAAGTCTTTTTTCTTTTGTTTTTGTTTACAAGTGAAATGCAGTTTTCAGGTTTCTTTGTGCTGTTAAAAGTTTGTTTAAACTTCCTCACACTACTCAAGATTAGTTATGCAACTGTTTTGTACTCATAGTTATCAGTTTTATCTTTTATTGATCATGAATAAATGTTAAATTTTGAAAAACACAAATGTTTTGTTTAAAAAGGCTTGGTTATGTATTTTCTTACTATTGATTTCTTGACGTGTAACTTTGGCATCATTATTATATACGGAAGGACCTGAGAAAGAGTTGCTACAACTTCTTGTGTTTGGAGAATTACTGGCACTCTTCCCTGGTTTTCATGTTCATATAGAACTTGTTGGACCTGCAATTCCTCCTCAAAGGTCTGATCCATTCTCATAAGTCATTGAATTATCATCTGATACTGATCCTATTTGGTTTAAATATCTGTCCTTGTTGCTTCCCAATGAACAGGGATGGTGAGAAAATTCAAATTTCAAAGTATGCTTGTTGCAATGAAGATGAGTGTGAGTGCAAAATAGCAATTAAAAATACATATCCTGAAACAGAGTCTGGTTCAGCTGTGACATTGCAGCTTTGGCGAGGATTCTATCATGACCGATATAGAGATATTGTTAAGGTATGTTGCAACATTTGAAGGGGATCTAGTATGTTATAGTCATTTAAAGTAATCTTGCTTGATTTAATTTTTTGTGCACAATCTCATATCTACAATTTACTTTTTAGTAATGTTTCACTTACAGGATTCCTTTCCTCACCTAATAATTGCTCCAAATGGTGGCATTGCTGCTTATTCCAGTTGGTTACCATGTATTGTATGTCTCCCACCTTGTGCTTATCCCAGATTTAGGCGTTAGTTTAATTTTTATTTTTATACTACCTTTGAAAAGTAGTTAACAGTGCTGAGCATGTTTTTCTTCATTTTCTTTGTTTCTTGCAAAAAATTCAGGAGTTAATTGAAAAGATTGGCGTCCCAGCTGTTTTTACTGATTATTGCGAGGAAGCATGTCATCTTGCAGCAAGTTGTATTAAGACTGTGTCTGACCGTCCTCCTAAATTGCCAGTAAGCTTTGTATTCATACTTTGCTAACATAGAAAATAATTGTTTTGAAGAATTAAGCATTTAGTCCTAGTTGACATGCATTTAGGTATCTGTTTCTTGTTAATGTACCAATTGGTTTTTGTTGTTACTGTGTTTCTAAGGTTTTAGTTTCTATCTGCTTAGCAGGGACCAATGTCTGTTAGTAAAGTCCTATAGATCAAAACTGAAGCTTGTTTCATACCAGGATTGATTCCTTGACTAGTGTTATCAATAGGGACAAGTGGTTATTTTAAACTTGTTTATTTTTAAACTTGTTTATCATTGGCATAATCTTTTAATAATTCATTACACTATAATGTAGGTTCAGTTAAATCCTTTCAGGCAGCCCATAGCCGTGGAAGACAGCGTGCTATTATTGCCCTGCTACTCGAATTGCTTTCTTTTTGGAATGTAAAGGGTTACTCAGAATATCTCGATTCTTGAGCCAACAATATTGGCAGGAACAACAAACCTAATTGCATCAAAAGTAAACCATTACTTGATCTAATGCGAAGGTATGTAAATAACAATAACAATCAAAAGCTTTGCAAACATGTATCCTGATTAAACCTATGTGCTGGATGTGCTACAGCCACTACAATCATTCTAAAATTTTCGCGCGGCATGATATACATCTAGGTTTGTGACAAGGTCTTAGCTAGATGGTAGATTTGATTTAAAGTATCTATAGATTTTTTTTTCTGAACTCTCCCTGTATAGATACTGAACCACATAATTTTCAATCAAATTATAGAAGTTGATGTAATTATCAAAATATTGAGAGTATTTAACTTCTTAAAAATATTCTTACTATGTCTCCTTCAACCCTTTCTCAATTTGTTTTTACCCGACATGAAATCTTATGAGATCTTCACCTGCAAAAGGTATGCAGTGATTGAAATGAGATTATTTTCTTATGACAATGAGTTCATATGACAATGAGTTCGTATGACAATGAGTACAGGCCTTGCATCAAACTATTCGCAAGATTAGCTAATTTTTAAATTCTCAACAATTTTAGTTATGTGAAATAACTAATGGTATTTTTGGTAATGGTATCTGAATATAAAGCTTGTAAATAACTCCACACTATAAAACCTAACATAGGCTTTCTTAAAACAGACTCTATAAAAAAATTAGTAATGATTTCACAAATGGAACTAAATTTATATATTTGTATTTAATTATTGTTAATCTCAACCCTCAAATAATTCAGACATACTATTAACTTTTACATTTTAGTCTTTGTTTCTTTTTCTCTGATTTTAACCACCATCTTTTCATTTAGATTGTGACATGAATAGATGTGAATGGGTCAAATTTTCTTCAACAGCATCATCATTTGTTCTTCATGATAAAAAATTAAATGATTTGTCCATAGTTCTTCTGTTGCAAATTCAATTTTTGGTTAATTTCATAAATTTGTGTTCCAATTTTGTCTCTATGTTTTTCTAGTTAAGTGCTTTAAATTGTCTAGTTTAACCTTTTTACCTTATATTCACAACTTTCAATTAACCTTTCGAGAAAGAATTCATCCTCATCATTTGACTATATTGTTTGCAATCTCTCATCCTCTTAAAATTTTGTTACATGCATATTTTAGATTTCGTTTTTATCTCATACTTAATTACTAAGGGCATAATTTTTGTGCAATTCATTACGAAATAAAAGTAATCCAAAAAATGTTAAAAAAAAAGACAAGTTGCATTTGTTCAAATTATAACATGCAATCATTTAAATATTCCAATGTCTAGTTATTAAACATTGTACTCTTGTTGAAATATTAAGGTATACTGTAAAATTATTTCTTGTTGGAGAAGGTCTTGACACGTTTTTATGCATATTAAATGGAGAATATGGAGTTTCTTTTTATGGAGGAATGGTTGACCCTCTAACTTTCCAATCTTTAATGAAAGATATTGCCCATGACTTGGAAGCCATAATTTTTTCATATAATTTAATAGATGAGACATAAATATACAAAGTCACCTTGTGGTTTTTGAGAAGGTTTGAAACCTTCTTTATTTATAATTACTATTTTATATTCATAATATTTTAATTTAATTAAATTTATTTTTTATAATAAAAAATAAATAAAATATATAAAATTATAAAGTACAAAAAAATTAATCAAAATTATTTTTATTGATGATTTAAAACAAAGTATATTCATTGAGAATTATAATATAAATATATAAAAAAACACATAACGTTTAAGAAATATTGCAAAATTGATTAAAAAATTTAACACAATAGAAAACAACTTGGTTAATTGAAAACACATGAGATGTTGATGACCTAAATAAAATTATTAGAAAACTAGAGATTTAACTCGTGATGAATCTTTTTAGTTTATAAATGTGTAACAGAGGGGTTTATAAGGGAATGTTTAAGCTATAAATTTTGGAATGTTCCATTCTTAATTATTAATTGAAGCTTCACACTTGCTCTTGCAGCTCCAATATGCAGGACAATCAAGGCCATGGTTTCCTCAATCCAAGATGCACCACCAAAGATAGGTTTGATGCCTCAAGTTTCTCTGTCCCATTTGGAGGTCAGATTCGTGATTTCTCTTCAAAAGGTTACATCGATGAAAAGAATGATCGACTCCTTGATGATTGTCGGAGGTATTGCATTGTAGCAAGCAAGATAATAGTTACAGTTTAATTGATGATAATAGTTACTTAATTGCATAATATTACTCACCCATTTTGCTTATTCTTTTGTAGCAGCAAGTCTTCAAGAGCTTCAAATCTTCAAACTCTCCATTGTATGATGAACCCAATATTGCAACCATACACCCAATATTACAACCATACAAACAAGCTTATCATAAGCTTATCCTTTTGTCTTATGCTTGTTCTGTCACTTCTTCTTGAATGCAAGTCCTGCCAGCATCATGACTTCTGATGAGCCAACAGTTCCCTAGAAATGTTTGCGCACTGGTTCTGTTTCCATTCAAAATTCAACACCAAAGAGTGAAAAAAATTATTGAGCAAGTCAAACACAAAAAACATATAATACCTCTTTCATATTCTAAATATAAACACCATTTGTCATGTGACAGACAAAAGCTCTGCATTATACCATTTTTCTAGTTTCTCCATTATAGATATGTTTATCTACAAAACAATAAAGACCGATTCCATTTATGTACTTTGTTCAAACTTTATCTCAAGCATTTAAAATCTAACTACTCTGCAACTTTCTGAGTATCTGTAACCTAAAGAAGCCATCCCATGACTAAAATGGTAGTATTATCATATCAATCTGAGTGGCCTAGTGGCCGACTACCATGCTGAGTGGCCGACCACTAGATCGACCACTAGGCCGAGTGACCAACCACCAGACTGAGTGGCCGATCACCAGACCGACCACCAAGCCGATTGGCCGACCACCAGACCGACCGACCACCAGGCCGACCGACCACCAAGCCTAGTAACCGATCACCTGGCCGACCACCAACTTATTTAAAAGAAAGCCAACTCAGCGACCAATGTATGCTACGTCAGAACAACTTGCTTATGTTACCAAGCCACACATCAAAATTTTTAATGCCGTCCAGCCTAATTAAAGCGAGGTCTAAATTTTATACAATAAAATATCTAATTGATTAGAATATGAGGAGTTATTTGAGACAAACCTCCACAAATAGGAATGTTCAAAAGGATTAAACCTTATAAAAAATGAAAATTATCTTTTTTATAGCAGCAGCTAATATGCCGATTCTTGAAATGTTATTATTATTTGTTATATATCAATAAGTAACAATTCCTAATTTAAATGTCAGAATAAGTTTTATATTAAATAAAAGTGAAAAATGAGAAAATTAAATAAAATATGTATAAGAAAAAAACTTAAAACTAATTTTAAGGATTTGAGTTGAAGATGATGAGTATATTTTGATGGAATTGAATGAGGCCTTTTGTGTAAATTTGGTGCACATATTGTTTTAAGATAATGATATTTTGACAATATTTTTTTGATAATATTTTAATATCATCTACTTACTATTCTATGATTGGTCCATGTTAGTGTTTATAATTATTATTATTAATTGTGGAGTAATTTTGAAATCATTATCCAATGTTTTAGAATCCATTTTAGTCTTTCTCTAGTTAATTATACTTTCAATTATAATATTAGTTTTCTTTGGAACATGCAAATACATGGAATGCATTATCGTTTTTGTTTGGAAACAAGGTTATTTAACATCGGTTATTATTTTATAAAAATAAAATTATCTTAATCTTTCATATTTTAAAAAAAAATGAATGATATTGTTGGAGTAATTTTTTTTAAAAAATATTTTTTGATATACCTAAATTTTACATTAATTTAACATTATCTTTATTTAATTTTTCTTTTTTTATCTTAAAAAAATACTAAACTTTACCTTTTTATTCTTATATAATGTAAAATGAATATAAAAGTGTCATGATATATATATATATATATATATATATATATATATATATAT